TGAAGACCAGGAGACCGGCCAGCTGCTTCTTGACACACTTTGAACATCAAATGAAGAGGCTGCAAAGTGACCTTTAGTGGGTCCTGTGCAAGGACCGATTTATTTTGTTCACTTCACAGAATAGTCTAAGGTGGTGACATACCTATTTTTAGGGAGTTCTTTGTATTGATGCCTCCAAGCAAAGTAGACGTGATGGGCAAGCCGTGCCCGGGAATATATTTTGCATGCTCCTGTCTGCCTCCTCTCTTTCCCTGTTACCTCCCAGGGGTATTAATCGGGCAGCAGAGATGTGTCTGTGCTCTGGAATTGCGAGGTGAGGTTGTATCCAGCCTTGTTTTCCCTGTGGAATGAACTTGTTCATTTAACCCTCTTAGCAACCCAAGGAAGTCCTAAGGTAGGGGAAACCTTATCTCCATCTTCAGAGATGAGGACGGTGCCAAGGACTGTTCAAGATCACGCAGATCATAAAAGCAGCACCTGGGACTGGTGCAGAGTCTCCAGTTCTGTTCTGGAACATTCTGCCATCCAGGGAGCAGAGACTGAGGGAGGGGTTTGCGGCAGGGAACTGTAACTAGGTGACTCATTCTACCGCCACAGGGAAGTCAACCTCCTCCTACATGCTGACACTAGGTGTGCATGAGTGAACAGCGGACTTGTGGGTCTCCTGGCCTCCGTGCTGCTCACTATAGTCTAGTGTGAAAGACAGCTGGTAAATTCTGAGCCCAGTGATGCAACTTGTGAAACGTGGTATGAGCAGGGTGCCAGGTGAGGAGCCTGGTTCAGCCTGGTGACTCAGGGAAGGAGCCCCAGGAAGAGACTTGAACGTAGACAAGCCAAGAGCAGAGGGAAGGCAGTTGGCAGAGAAAGGAGTCCCTGAAAAGTGGGAGGGAGCTGGGTCTGCTCCGGGGCGAGGGCTGGGGGACAGCCAAGCTGGAAGGGATCACAGCCTGGGGGTGGGGGTGGGGGGCGGCGGTTGCAGGTCTCTTCAGCCAGGATGAGGATTCGCTAGTTTGTCATCCGTGCCGTTGGAGGTCATACCAGAATGTGATGGGTGCTCTTAAAGCATCTCTTTAGTGCTGGTGTGATGAAGGAATTCAGAAGGATTCTGGGAAAAAAGAGCGGGAATGAATGAGCTCATACTTGCTAGTGCCTTCCGGGGACTATTTTGTGCAGGAATAATGGGGGCTACTTGCCGGTACAGTTAAGGTCTAGGCCCTGTACTGGGTGTGTTGTAGGTACTGTTTCTAATCTCCTCAGCAGCTGTGCATCTAGAGGTGGCGCTGTCCGGCATGGCCGCCGTTACCCACGTGTGACATTCATGAGCGTTAGGCAAGCAAAAACTCCCAGTCACACCAGCCACATTTCAAGGGCTCGTTGGCTGCACGTACCTTCTGGCTACGACATCAGACCGCAGGAATAGCATTTCCATCATCCCGGAAGTTTTTTGAGGCAGTGCTGGTCTGGATTTGGTAGCACATGACTAGAGCCAGCCGGACACAGTGGTTAAGCATTTGGCCTTTGGGGTCGAATCGGGGTTGGGATCCCAGCCTCACCCCAGTATGGAGTGTGAAAGAAGGTGACACCCTTCACCTGCCATCATCGCCCGCTACACGGTGTGTATGTCATCATCATTTTTATTATAATTATCATCAGCATGTTTGCTGTGATTGGCAGGTAGGGGGTGTAGGGCTTCCAGACGGACATTTTATCTTCACATGAAATTCAGTCATGTTCCTGTTACTTACAGAGGTTTTCAAAGATGAGGCTGTTTTCTTGCTTCTGTTCCCAGCCTCTGCGGTGGTCACCACCTCTCTCCTCAGCACCATGTTATGAATCCAAGAACCTGGACGTGGGGGCGAGCTCTGCCCCCGATCGGGGATGACTGGAGAGGTAGAAGGGTAACTCTAGAGGTTGAATGTAGAGGACGATGGTTGGTTTGAACACATTTCTGATCTACCCAGGAGAAGTGGAGGACAGAAGTAGATTTGAGGAATGAGAAAGCCCTCTCGAAAGTCATACAAGACAGGTGCTGTACTCCAGCAGAGAGGAGCTGGCTGGCTGCTTTGGGGGATGAATTTGCTTCCGGTATTTCCACCCAGAATCTCATTATTACAAAGCCTTTCGTTACCAGCTGGGTCCTGGAATAGAAGTAGGGGCACCAGCCCATGGCCAGATCATTAAGACAAATTAAGACATATTAATATATGCTGGAAACAAAACAATTAGCTACATAGATTTAATTTGTTTCCCTGCTGGAGGAAACCCCTGAGAGGGTGCAAAACATGTACCCAAGAACAGCTCTGCAGCTCCCCTGCGAGCCTGGCACTCGTCAGCCCTGTAGGGGCTGAGAGCCGCTGAAATGAGACTTCTGCCCAAGGGTGGTTCGTCTGAAAACAAATCCTCTCTTGGACCAGGATTACGTGAACCTGCTGATACAGGTGACCTGGAGTTTTGTTAAATTGGTGATTTTCCTTTTTTTTTTTTTAATCACCTTATTGATAATAGTTATTTTGACTGTGTATGAAGATAATGCCCAGAGCTCTAAAATAGGATATTAGAGCACATTTTCTATTCACATTTAAAGTTAGCAAATTTACATATTTGTATTATTGTTTGCACTTTTTTTTTTCTTTTTAGATTTTATTTATCTGAGAGGGAGAGAGAGTGAACGAGACAGTGCAAGCAGAGGGAGGCGCAGAGGGAGAGGGAGAAACAGACTCCCCACCGAGCCAGGAGCCCGGCTCGAGGCTCAGACCTGAGAGCATGACCTGAGCAGACGCTCAACGGATTGAGCCACCCAGGAACCCGTCTGCTCTTTTTTTAAGAGACTGAAGTGGAATACGAGATAGTTCCTTCATTTCTGAGTTGGGGCCTTCATTGTCTCTTGATTTTTTGTTTTTGTCTTGATTTTTATCGCTGTTGTCGTTTCTTGCCCGAGTCATGATTTTTAATTGTCTCACCATGAGGAGAAGACAGGCTTCTCACCACACCCAGGTGCATTTTTCCCAGAGAGAGACAATGGAATCTATCATCGGAGTTCCCCTAGGCTATGTCTGGGACAATAGGCCCATCAGATGGCGATGGCACACTCTTGTCCCCGGCTTGGCAAACCGGCCCTTACAACATCCTGGGGTGGTCACCAAGGAGGCCAGAGTCCCTTCTCTCAAAATAGTAGCCTCCAGAGGCACAGTCCCCAGCTGGGAGGAACTGCATGTTTACAGGGAGAGATGATTTCTTCTGTCATCATGATGACGACGATAGCTTCCTTACAGAATATGTACAATTATATGTGAGAAACATAACCCCCAAGTTGCTTTGAAAAAGGGACCTTTTATAGTGTCAGGAGTGAATATACGAGCTACCTTGTATATTCCTTGCGTGTTGGTAGCTGACAGGTTTATGGCCTTTCCTTGGGGCTGCCCTGCACATTAGGCTTTGCTCGTGGCTGTGGGACCTCTCACGCGGGCGGAAGATGCACTGACTTTCTATGATGATCATTTGACTCGGTTCTCATTTTGGAAATCGGGCAGGGTAGGGTCTGAAACCTTCCAGTGACAGCTTGCTGAAAGGTGTTTGGCTGCTTCTTCACTTCCCCATCTTGTCCAAGGAGCGACATCATTTGGCTCACTTTAGAGAAGCATCTTTCCTGGAGGTCAAGTGTTTCTAGCAAGAAGGGATGTTGCCTCCCACCTCTACAACTCTTCTCGGCACTCTGGACAACCCTTCCAGTCCCAGGCGACAGTCAGTCATTTGATAGGCCACCAAAGGCCATTTGAGTCTGCAGCTAACACTGTGGCCAGAAGTTTCTTAAATTGGAAATTTATAAATTGGAAATCTCTGTTTATATCCTACCTCTGGAAAATGGATATTTTAAGTTGTCTCAGAGAGCCATACATGATAAGGTTGTTCACGTAGAAGCAATTTAAAAATCACAGAAAGAAGAAAATGTGCTAGCCAGGATAAATAATGAAATTGCGGGGATTGATTATGGAGATTGGCTCCGAGACTCTCCAAAGCTCCGGCAGTAAGTGGATTATTAAGTACATTATGGTTCTGTCACATGACAAGATTATGTAGCTACTAAGCTTACCCTCAGAGGCAATTTATAACAAGAAAATTCTTGCAATACCGTATGAATAAGAGAGGATTGAAAACTATAGAACTGGACTCCTTGTGGCTCAGTGGTTGAGCCTCTGCCTTCGGCTCGGGTCATGGTCTCAGGGTCCTGGGATCGAGCCCTGCATCAGGCTCTCTGCTCAGTAGGGAGCCTGCTTCCCCCTCTCTCTCTGCCTGCCTCTCTACCTCTTGTGATCTCCCTGTCAAATAAATAAATAAAATCTTAAAAAAAAAACAAACTATAGAATTAGCTATGTTTACCCAAAAAAATCAAAAAATACTGGCAGGAAGTTCACCAGCATGTCAGCTATGGGTGATGAGATGGAGTGGTTTTCTTTTTCCTTCTTTCAGAGTATTATAATGAACATCTATTACTTTCATGACCACACACAAAAGTTATCTTTTTGGTTGGCTCTGAGCTTCCTGACAGAGAAAGGCAGAAGGGGAAACAATCGTGAGTTTTATGACATTCATTATGTGGGACAGAACAGTCTTCGTGCTCCAAGATCAAATTTTCTGGACCCTGAATTCCAGAAGGGGTTTATCCTGATGGCTATGGGGTGATGGGATGTACAAAGTTTGATGAAGTTCTTCGAGCAGGTGTGGGAGGGGAGGGCTCCTGTCTCTGACCAGGCAGCGGGGCGAGCGGGGGAGGGGAGCCTCCCTCTCGCCCTCCTTCCATTCCCTATGGGCCTTTTGAAGGGTTTCCTTTGCCCGTTGTGTCTTATCCAGACGGCATGTGAGATAGGCCTGGCAGGTGCAGAGGACAGCTCTCACGCTTTGTTTCACAGCCTGCGGGTTGAATGACCTCCAGTGCTGGAAATGGCTTCTTTTAAAAACTAGTGTAACTTGACTTCTCCCCTCCCCCTCCCCACTCCCCGCAGGTGTAGCTGCACTGGATTCCAGTGTGTCTGGGAAAATCGGTCTGCGTGCTGTCGTCTATTATTTCTGTACCACCATCATCGCTGTAATTCTAGGTAAAATCCATTTCGGATTCCTTATTCCTCTGTATAATGGTGACTTGTCCTTTAAAAGTATCTGGGCTTTTTTTAATGCATTTTTTTTTTTAATTCAAAAAGTAGTTTTGTCAAACCACCATGAAGCCTTTGGGCTTAAAGTCTACCCAGCACCTTTTCTATAAAGAAAATACAGGACTGACTGAAGTTTAGCCGTGGGCCTTATTCACATTCCTGGGTGACAGTCCTGTGCCTTACCAGGTTCACTGGGTAGAAGGAGGTGAAGCCAAGAGCTTATATAATCTGTAAACGGAGTGATTCGTCAGCAGTAGTGGAGTTGAGTATAATTGTGAAATATTTCCAAAACGATGCCATTGCAGTGCATTTCAGATTTCACGTGGTACTCAGAGTAGAAATTCCACTTCAAAAAGGGAGAAAGTTCTAATAAGGGAATATCACTGCTCTTGTGCCTTTGGCATTCTTTTGTGAAGAAAGTGCTGTCCATCCTTCGTGACCTAACGTTTTTAAGGCCGCCCGAGCAGGAAGAGAGGCTGGAGCATACTCAGATGTTGCGGCCGTAGTGATCCTGGTCCTCTGCCTTAATGGACTGTTAGACATGGTGAGGTTGGTCGTGTGAGGCAGGGCACCTGGGAGGGCCCGAACCCTGCCTTAAACCAAAGCCACCTCTCCTCATGAGGTTCCTGAGGGAGGGAGACATGAAGGGGAAAGCTGGTGTATGTCTCTCTAGCATCCCTGAGAGGGAAGAAGGAACCGCACGCACCATGGTCCTTGGACTCACCCACTGACTCCCCTCACTGGTAAAACTGACCTGCTCAGCATCCTGACATCCTGCCTCCGTGGACTGGCATCCCCCTCCAGTCAAGCAGTTTCTCATGCCGTGATCTGTTCTCCAGCCTCCCACCTTTGGGACACCTCAAAGGACAGGAACCCATTACCTCCAGGGGCCAAAATGGCGCTCTCAGAGACTCCCTGTTTAGACAGTTCCTTACGGCAAGAACTCTCTCTCCCTGTAACACCTATTTGCCCTCACTCCATCCCCCCAGAGTCACAGGAAATGCGACTTTTCCTAACCCCGAACGTTTTTTTGGATTAGACAGCAGCTTTTCAGATTTTTGAAGGCTTGGGATATGGAAGAAAGATAAGGCATGTTCTGTAGGCACCTCAGGAAAATAACTAGCATGTGTGGGCAAAAATTACATAAAAATATTGAATGGGTGCCCTGAGCTGGAAATCACCCTCACCCAACCCCTGCCTAGGCTGACTTCCTAGGCTAAAGAAAAGAAAATAGAAAATTCTCAGGTGTTTCCAGAAGCAATTCTGGAATGCATCTCTTCATTTAAAAGCGGGGGGGGGGGGGGGGCGGAATTTCTTCTGCTTAATTCAAATGGAAGAGTAATTAAGGCCACTGCTGAGGCCCCGGATGGGGTTCAGCATCTTGGCTGAACCTCGGAGTCTCCTTCCAGTATTACCTGCTTCCACCATGCCCCCGGGTTCTAAGAAGGATGCACTGTTGGGGGTCAGGGGCAGGTGTTCTGGAAGGTTCTGAATGCTCGGTGATACTCTCCTTGGCCACAGGCATCGTGCTGGTGGTGAGCATCAAGCCTGGCGTGTCCCAGAAAGTAGACGAGATTGACAGGACAGGCAGCAGCCCCGAAGTCAGCACGGTGGACGCCATGTTGGATCTGATCAGGTGAGTGTCCTCCCAGCCGGGCTGCTCCGTGGCCCTGCCGCCTCTGATGCTGCCGTCACATGGGACCCACGCGTGCTCTGAGGCTCTGCTCTTGCTGGTTTGAAATTTCTGATAGTTCTTGAATCATTGTGTTTGTTCAGTGAGCCCTGGGTCCCAAAATTACATATCTGGGCCTGCTTGCCAGACTGTGTGGGTCCAAGAGCGGTTGAGAGAAACAGGTTCCTCCATCTGGATTCAGGATGGACAGAGCTGCAGAAAGTATATACTTGTTGCATTAAGATGCTGGGCTGAGTGGGGGATGGGATCCGTTCTAAAGGACTCTTGAAGAAATACACTTTTTAATTATACAGGAGAAACCCTTTTATCAGAAGCAATCAGGGCTGGAAATTGGTCAGTTAATTTTAAGATATCAGTTAAAGCAAAAAAAAAAAAATTGACACAGCTATACCTGACATATTTTGTTGACACCTATAATTTAAATGGCATTTACTTGCTGACCTCTGACACAAAGCCAGGGTCTTTCCTTCGAGTGTGTCAGGTGATTATAATTTCTTATCATTTCTCTCGCACCTGCTGTCCTTACAAAGGCATCATGTACAGTTTCCAAGCTCAGTTTCCATGAAGGAGAGCAACAAAACCCTTAGAAACGGCTAACAAAGCTGCGTGCCGGTTTTTCTTTCCATTTCAGTGGCCCTCCCAAACCTAATTTAACCACAGAAAGCTTAATCCTGTGCTTTGGCCGAGTTTCCAGGCGTGGAGTTTAGAGTTGATAAAAACCACACCTTCTGTTTCCTAGTCCTGTTTCATCCATTCACATCATTCGTAATTCAGTGACTGACTACTGATGTCCGCACTTGGAGTAAAGATGTTGGGAGCAAATGCAGTGGACTCAGGAAGCATGTGCTCCCTTCGACGAGCGCAGAGGGTGCAGGACATTAAAGACATCCCTGGGCGGTGAGCATCCGCCTGCCAGTGCTGTGTGGCACGGAGCACAGCACGCGTAGACTTTACTCTCATCAACTAAATGATGGTGGCTGGAGAGTGATGGTGGCTGGAGAGAGCTTTCTGGACTGGGTTGAAGCTCGGCGGGAGGGACAGAATCTTTATCGGAGGAAGTATTTGCAAAGGAGAGGCCAGAAAAGATACCAGGGTACTGATGCTGTGTTCTCCTCGTGTTCATCAATGTATTGAGTGTGACAGAAACAAATAACAGAAAACAAAACACTTGTGCCTTAACGTGACACTGCTTTTCATGTCTCCAACAGGAATATGTTCCCTGAGAATCTTGTCCAAGCCTGTTTTCAGCAGGTAATCCTAATGGCTTCTGCCTCCAGACAGCTCCCCTCTTCGCTTGACCCATTCGAGATTTTTATGTCCTGCTGTGACCCAGGAACTGGAATGCGCCCACCCCAAATGGCAGGAAATGTACCTGTGGCTGCAGGCGGGGCCGTTGCAGGCCGCTTCTCTGCTCTGTGCCTCTGGTCTTCCAGGCCCCAGGGAAGTCCCTGTTGCCACGGACCCAGGCTCCCTTTCCCTGTTTTTGGAGAACCCCGTGGTATTTGCAAAGAAGCTTGGATCGTCTGCCAGTTAAACACCCTGCAGAAACAGCCCCGGCGCCTCTCCTTCCTCCCGCATGAAGGAGAGCAGTCTCTAACACACACGGGGGCTTCGCGTGCCTGCTGTCCGGTCTTTTCCTTAATCCTCGCACGCCCGTTGCCGGCCCGCCCCGTGGCCGTGTAACAAAGCCCTGATTTTTGCCTCTAGGAAAGCTTCGCGGTCTCTTGACTCCATCTCCTTGCTTCCCTTCTCTCTTGTTTATCTGTGCACTTGAAGACCAAAGAGTCTGTCCCAAAATGCTGAATTCATTTACATAAATTAGACCAACAGAGCCCTCTGTGTACACCAACAGAAGTGGCCATGAGCTTGCTCCCTGCCAACCTCCATGAGGCACAGAACCACCTCCATTTCAAGGTTCAGCCTCGGGTGGTCATTTGTAAGGTTCTCAAGGTTGACAGAGCCTGGCAGGACTGACACGGATGCCCGGCGTGATGGTATATGAGCTCTTTCTTCGGCCTCCCTGCGGAAGCTCGGCAGAACGCCCCAAAGCTGAAGGAAGGGAATTCAACAGAAATGTCCCTCGTGGCCTGGCCCTAAAGGCGTTTTTGATCTGGGAACAACCATCTAGTTCTTGACATGTATTAAAGCCATGGTGACTGCACTCATCAAAGTAATGAGGCGTTTCTCCCAGGTTAATAATAATGAAGGAGTAAACAGAGAAACAAAATGAGTGGCAGGATCTCCATAATGTCTGTTAAAGCAAATGAAACCTATACATTCTTCCCCATTATCGCTCTGTTAATTTGCCCCTTATTATGAAAGAGAACGTTCTGACATCGTTGAATGGTGGCTGTGGGAATCGGGCTTTGGATCTCGTGGCCTCGCCTTTGCTTCCAGAGCCTCACGGGAGCCCAGAGAGGCGACAGGGGCAGAAGGCTACCGTGGTACTTGTTTAGCCCAACTGACATATTCCTGTGGTTTAGGCTCAGATGCTTGAAAAACGCTTATTTTGTTTGTTTCTCTGGTCTCTTTCCTCCCCTCCAACATGCAGTATAAAACCAAGCGTGAAGAAACGAATGCTCCCAGTGAGCCAGGGACAAACATGACAGACACACCTGTCACAGCCATCATGACAACTGCCATTTCCAAGGTACGTCGTCGCCCGCACCCCTTCCCCAGCAGGCAGGGTGAGCTGCGAACAGGCAGGAGATGGAAATACAGTCAGTCCTCACTGTTTGTGAATTCTTCTACCCTCTAAAATGTATTTGTAACCCCCCAAATCAACACGAAGCTCTCACCTTGTTTGCAGAAACACAGGGAGTGGTGAGAAGTTCCAGTCACCCAACATATGCACTCCCAGCTGAGGGCGAGCAAGGCCGAGCTCTGCCTTCTTTTTTTCTCTAAGTAGGCTCCATGCCCAGTGTGGGGCTTGAACTCATGACCCTGAGCTCAAGAGTCACCTGTTCTACCAACTGAGCCAACCGGGTGCCCTAGGCACTGGCTTCTTGTTTCAGCTCTCTTACTATAAACCAGTGTCCTTTTAGGGGTGTGTTTATGCCATAGTTTTTTTTCACATTTTTGTGCCTTTTCATGATGATTTCACTGTTTGAGATGTCCCCCCACGCATCGTGCTGCAGCGCTGTGTGTGGTTCTCAGGGCAAGAAGGCTGTGACTGGCCAGACAGAAGACACCTGTGCCTTCGGTCGGCCTCACTCAGGCCTGACGGTGTCGGGGTGGGGATGTTGAGAGCTGCTGGGATTTCAGCAGTAGAGAAGAGGCCACCATACGGGCATGAAGTAGTTCCTCCCTAGTCCTATGGTAGATTCTGCCAAACATTCCCTGCCTCCACACAGGAAGAAAAGATTTAAGGAACAAGTGTTTGGGAGACTTAGGAATGCAAATCAGATAGAGCGAGGTGGCCTCCTGCTTCGTCCTGCGGAATCCTTAAGTCCTCCGCCTGGCCCAGTGGCCCTCCACGTCCGTGCGCCTCCCTGGTTCCCCAGCTCCCCTCCCGGATGCCCTCTCTGTCCCATCCAGACCCACCTCCTTGGTTTCTCCTTCTTTCCACCTTTGCACGTGATTCCACCAAGAGTTTTGTGAACGGCCCCCAGGAGCTAGACCCCGCTGGGCCCTGGGAGGCCAGTGGTGCAGACAGGTGTGGCCCCTGCCCTTACGTGACGAGCATTGCAACCGGGAAGAGCAGGCTACTCGGGGGCATTCAACACAGAGGGTTAAATTAGTTTGGGGGCCCTAAAGGAAGAGTAGGAACTCTCCAGGCACGGTAGGGCAGGCCCAGGGTATGATGACTTTGCCTCTCCTTACATCATTTTTCTGGAAAATGCTTCCATCTCCTGCCCGTCTGCTGGCGAGGCTGCGCTCTCCCCACCCCTCGGCCCCAGGTCCGTCCCTGCCTGATGCCTGCAGCTGTGGTTTGGCATGCAGTTCGTGACGCACCGTATCGCTCTCACGGGTCTGTTTTCCCTACAGTTAATCTTATCTATCGAGCTGTATTTCTAAGACTTATCCTGTAGCCAGTGCAGTTAGCACACTCGCGGCTCGATAAATCCGTGTTTGAGCATATCAGATTATAAGTAAAAAATGGCGGGCATGCCAGGAGCTTATCAACCATTTATAATACTTTATAAGGCTGACTTGTGCTGCTCCAATTATGTTATCTCCCTGTGAAATCTCTCAGAAAATCTCATGCAGCCCCACTCGGAGTAAGTTTTTTCCCAGCATCTCTCACGCTGTTCCTACCCAGGATAAGGGGAAGAAACAGTTCACAGTAGCAGCCGTTTGGGTAATATTTACATCTCTAAAGTCCTGTTGGCCACCCAGTTAGAGGCAGTAAAGAAGGCTTCTGTGCATCACTATCAGATAGATATCCTAAAAATGTTCACCCTGGCAAATAATTTGAGCTTCCTGCATTCTTAAGTCCTATCTTTTTCACGCAGACTCCAAAGTTGCTAGTAGTTAAAATAACCCCTGAAAAGTGCCTTGATTCTAAAGTTCTTATTAAAAATGTAAGACATCCCAGAATAAGAATACTTCAAAAGCAATCTTCAAGTTTGGGTTTTTTGAGAAAGCGAAAAAAAAAATCCCTTTACGCTTCTGTGGCAGAAGATGGGAGCGGTAGGAACTCAATACACATGTAGGTGGTTTGTTGTTGTTTGTTTTCTCCCCGAGTATTGTTGACTCTGACTGGTGGACTACTAGTTTGTTATGTCTGGCTATCATAGCTTCTCATTTCGGGGCCTCTGCCTTCCAGCAAAATTAGAATCACGCATCAGTATATTCTCTCGGTTTTGATCCACAGAACAAAACAAAGGAATACAAAGTCGTAGGCATGTATTCGGACGGCATAAATGTCCTGGGCTTGATTGTCTTCTGCCTTGTCTTTGGACTTGTCATTGGAAAGATGGGAGAAAAAGGACAGATTCTGGTGGATTTCTTCAATGCTCTGAGTGATGCAACCATGAAAATCGTTCAGATCATTATGTGGTGAGCAGATGCTGGTGAATGCCATCTTGCTTCTTCTTACAGTTGTCCCCTCAAAATTAGGATAGAGGGGCCTGCGCTTCTCCACTGACCTCCCCGTAGGAAGGAGGAACGCGGAATGCCGAGACACTGGAGTGTTCAGGAATTCTACATATCACTTAGGCATGAGTTCACCGATAAGAATCTGAGTGTCAGCCGTTGTCTGTTCTCCCAAAGCCCCTGGTCAGCTTGCTCCCAACCGGCATTTGTCTAAGAAATAACTCTTAAAATAGTGACTTGAAGGGGTTCCTGGCACATCGAAACCCAAGTGCTCTCCTTGTTGGGCCCAGATGTGATATTCAAAATACTTCCCATTGTATTTTGTTTCCATCCAAATGAAACTGCCATTTGGATGAGAACACACCAGCCGCACTGTCTGAGTCCCTGCCCTGTCCCTGGAGGTGCCAACAAGTCCACCTTTGCGAGGTGATCTCTGCCCCCATTTATGTCTTACTGAGTTGACCCGACATTACTCTCAAGTGTAGACACCGACGGTGACGCAAAGGCTCTAGCAACTTCGACCCCTTACTCCCACTGAACCTTGGCTTCTTCGTGTGTAAAAAAAGGATAATAAAAGTCTGCCCCTCGGGTTGGGAGAAGTACATTAGGGGAAATGATGCATGTCAAATACTTAACCCAATACAAGGCACGCAAATAGAGCTGCACAAACAGAGCCGTTCTGAGCACTTCCACGACTAATGGCATTGCTCTGTTGCTGATATGACTACCTGGGAGACAAGATGACCGGGGCTAGAAAGAGCGTGGTGCCATCTATGGAGGGTCAGGCAAAACTGAGCCCTGCAGATGGGACCATTGGCAGGACGTCCGTGCCCCGGGAGCACGGTGCAGGATAGACAGCTGTTCTACCACACGTTCTTGCCAAGTTCGCTCATCTAAGGTAGCTTGGGTGAGTAGAATTTAAGGTGCATGCACAGGCGCTAAATCCTGGCGCCAGTGCGGTCCACCAGGACCGGAGGCTGAAACCTTAGCCTCCCTGTGGACCCGGTGCTCCTCCCAGCTGAGCGCCCGCACCAAGCCAAAGTACATACCCTGGCTTGCTTCCTCCCCAGCAGTCCCACCTCGAGAAGACACCTGATGATGGAAGTGTCTTTGCTGTGCTTATGTTCTAGCTACATGCCACTTGGCATTTTGTTCCTGATTGCTGGGAAGATCATAGAAGTTGAAGACTGGGAAATATTCCGCAAGCTGGGCCTTTACATGGCCACCGTCCTGAGTGGGTATGTCAGACTCGGGAGAGGAAGCAGGAACTGTGTTTGAGCCACTGGATCACTGAGAAGCAGCGTTCCAGTTATAATTGGCTTCTCCCATGGGCCGAGGAAGATGGGGTTCAGAGATAAGAGAGCGGGGTGGGGGGGGCTGGCTTTAGCAGCTGTACTGGGGGAGGATCACACTGTGCTAATTGCCAGATCTTGGCAGAACAGCCTGGACCATGGTTTATCGCTGCCTTTATTTGTTGTTAAAACCCTTCATTGGAACAAGCAAAACCCACTGGAAGCCTCTCTTGGCATTCACTTCTTCAAGGATGGAAACTCACCAAACTCGTAGGAATAGCCCACGAGGACCCCAGTCCCAAGAAAGAAATCGGGCAGGGCCTGAATGCAATGAGACTTGAGCAAGTAGGAGTGTGTGGCTGGTTGGTTCCAACCCCACTGGTGGGGTTGTGCACTGCTACCGTGCCCTGCACCACCCGAGTGTCAAAGAGGATGCCGGGAACGTCTTCAGGCTGGGAAGAAGTGGGTAAAGCAGGGAGGCAGCAGGTCGTCTACATATTCATTGCAGCCCACTATTGGTTCCTTGAGGGGAGGTAGGGTGAGATAATTTAAGGATGGTGCCCGTGGATATCTAGCAGGGACGGGATACGTCATACATGCTAAGAAATATGGACGAAGGGAATGGATAAACCACCCACATTTCCACAGGTCAGTGCTCCCAAACGCCCGCCTTGGCCAGTGAGCTCACCTGTTGGGAGTGCAAGTGCCCTGGGGAATCCATCTGTGTTTACCAAAAGCACAGCCCTTCCAGCCAACAAGCAGCAGCCTGGGTGTCTACAGCATCCAATCCCAGGGCCATAGTGGTACGGGAGCAGGGCTTTGCACCCTTCTAGAGGCCAGAGCCTGTGTCCCTGCAGCGATTTGGCTGATGTTTATTATGCTGAGTCATTTTATGACACATTTCTGCTGGTTTCTGTTTGTCCTACCTGGGTTTCTAACAGAAAACTAAATTTCTCCTAGTTCTTAGCCATGCCTGCTACCTAGAACCCTCATGACGGACCTTCAGGATCTGTATTTTCAATGGCCTCATTTCTTCTTATTTTAGCTTTGACTAACTGATCTGTAAACTCTTACATGGCACCTGCTGGATTGGTCTCGTTTTTTAAGCCCCCTGTTTTACATAACCTGTATAGTCCTACATGAAACAAGGAGTCGTTTTGGAAGGCAGGAATAACAAAGAAAAGGAGGTCATTCCTGAGGTATGCCTGTAGGAAAGCAGGGACTCACCCCTTCCTGGCCTTCTTGGAGGGTGGGCACCATCCAGCAGGACAGCAGTGTGGTCCAGGGAACAGGGGGTGCTGGGTGTAGGATGAGGGTTTGTGGTAGCAATGAGTGTGGAGCCACAGAGCTACCAAGGAAACAGGGGTCCGATCCACCTGTGAAGGTGAGGGAAGGCTTCCTGGAGGAGAGGGACCTTTTGCTGAGTCTTAGAAGAGTGGTAAGTATTCAGCAGCAGAAGGAAGTGAAAGCTCGTTAGCACCTATTGCAGGAAGAGCACGTACAGGGCTTGGCAGTGTGACATACGTGTTCTGTGAGCTCCAAAATGTGGATTCAGCTACTGGCTTCACCACTTTGAAAAGCTACTTCATTTGCTAAGTGAGTCTCCTCATACTCATTGGTGGATATATGGAGACATATGCCCTTGCCCTACTTCTCATTTTCTCTTGGGTCATTATGAAAATCCAGTGATCTATCATGAATTTTTAAAAAGCTGTTTGGAAAAAGGGATTACTGTGAGGAGGTGGTGCCCTCTACGAACCTGTTTCTCTTTCTTGTTTACAGGCTCGCGATCCACTCCATTGTCATTCTCCCACTCATCTACTTCATAGTCGTACGGAAGAACCCTTTCCGATTCGCCATGGGAATGGCTCAGGCTCTCCTGACGGCTCTCATGATCTCTTCCAGGTGAACAGAGGAGGGGCGTCCGGGAGAAGCCTCTGGGCCATTTCTTGTCAGCTCTCATCCACTGCGGATGAGAGCTGTCCCCACCACACATGAAACTGACCCCCCCTCCCCCGCTTATGCTTTTGTAGCTGCCTTTAACTCAGGGAATGACCTCTAGATTCTCTGCCTGTGTCCTTGAACATTTCTGCCCCCTGCTGGGTATTTCTCATCCTTGCGGCATGGCCTGCAGCCCCAGAATGGGTTACACTGTCACTTGGAGCAGCCCCGGACCCAGTACATTCTCATTCCTGGACCTGCCGGAAGTGCCAGCATGCTTTGGGCTCTGGGTTTGGTTTTTGGCATAAAGTGTCTCTCCAGGGTGGGGACTGAGCCCTGGCATTCCTGGACCATAAGTTTCTTTCTCTTTCTATCACACAGTTCAGCCACACTGCCAGTCACTTTCCGCTGTGCTGAGGAAAAGAACCAGGTGGACAAGAGGATCACCAGGTTCGTGCTGCCCGTGGGAGCTACGATCAACATGGACGGGACGGCTCTCTATGAGGCAGTGGCAGCCGTGTTCATTGCACAGTTGAATGGCCTGGACTTGGGCATCGGGCAGATCATCACAATCAGGTAGGGCGTGAGGTCATGCTCGTGTTCATTTCTGTTATTGGAACTGTATCAAGGAAAAATTGCCAGTGGCGGGGGGGAGAAAATAAAAATCTGGAGGGCCAAAACCATCACTGTTCTTGGTTCAGCGTACCCAGTGGGTGCTAGGCACACAGATGCCAAGGATTCAAGGTGGAATAAGGGCCAGTCCCTGCTTTCAGGGGGTCCCCAGTATGTAGGGGGATACAGATACCTAAGTAAATGCGGGGATGTGCTAAGAGCTATCGTGGAGGTTTCAGAGGATATAGAGGGCACCAAAGAAGGAAGGGAAGGTGAGGAGAGGCTTCCCAGAGAAGCAGAAGGTTTAGTCTCAGAAGAGCAAAGAATTTAGTAAGAGAAGAAGGAACTAAGAGCATCTGGGATAAAAAGGACTAGCACGTATGGGGGCTCATGATATAACCACGGCCTAGTTACAGAGGACAGATTATTAGATGTTGCCGACATAGATTACAATGTGAAGAACATAGAGAAACAAGAGGGCAGGGATCATCTCCTGAAAGGCTTCATGTGAGCTGCTCCTGGAATGGGATCAGACAGTCTTTCATAATATGGACAGATTTGCGTTTTTAAAGGGTAACTTGGCAATATGGTGGATGGACTAGATGGGAACAGGAACATAAACTGGAAGACTAGTTAGGAGACTACTGCAGAAGTCCAAGTAAGGAATTAAAAGGCCTACATCAGGGGCTCTTGGGTAGCTCAGTCAGTTAAACATCTGCCTTCAGCTCAAGTCATGCCCAGGGTTCTAGGATCAAGCCCCACTTTGGGCCCCTTGCTCCGTAGGGAGTCTGCTTTGCTTTCTCCCTCTGCCCTCCCACCAGCACCCTGCTGGTGGTCTCTCACTCAAATAAATAAAATATTAAAAAAAAAAAAAGCCTACATCAAGGCACTGTCACTGAGGATGGAGAAGAGCTAATGAATTCAAGAGGCATCAGTTGGATTCACAGGGAGGGTTGGGAAGCGGGGGACAGTTAGGATGACTCCAGGATAGGCGGATGGTTCTGGACTGGCGAATGGTGCCTACCAGAACAGAGACTAGTGGAAGAGAAGCAAGCATAGGTGGGAAAATAAAGAGCTTATGCTTTTTGTCACATTGAATTTGAAATGCCTTCAAGATGTCCAGGTGGAACTCTGCAGTGAGAAATGTGCAGATACGATGTCAGAGGCTTCAGCGGGAGGGCAGTCATCAAGCATGTGGTTTAAGTCAGTCATCTGTGTTTGAGGCTTAACCTCACCATGATTAACTGTGATCTTGGCCAAGGTACTTGACTTCGATAACCTCCTGTTTTCTCGCCTGTAAAATATGGATAATAATAGTACCTACATCTTATGCAAGTAGTGATAATTAAGTCAGTGCACATAAAACGCTTCAAATGGTGTGTACAGAGTGAGGGCTCAAGATGTTACATAGAGAGGGTTTGTGCCAAATAGAAAAGGACTAAGAACTGAGCTCTAGAAAATCCTAATATTAAAGGCAGGCAGAGGAGGGGAGAACCAAGAGGGAGACCAAGAAGGAACAGAAAGGTAGAAGGAGAGCCATGAGACCATCACATCACCGAAACCCAGTGAAGAGAGATTTCCAAGGATGGGATCCTCAAAGAGCCTGATACCGCAAAGAATTCTACTCAAATGAAGACTGAAATTGTCTGCTCAAGTCGATGCTGAAAACGTCATTAATGAATGTTGCTCTGAAACAAGCCTGTTCAAGATGGTAGCTACAAGCCATGAACACAGGTTGGACGCAGCAAGTGTAGGAGCTTCCGTCATTGTAGAGTTAGGTTCCGTCATGGAAAATTCTACTGGACAGCACTGCTTTGAAGGGATGGGTTGGGTTTAGAGCTAATCTGGCCACTTGCATTCAGTTTGGAGTGCAAGTTTACAACTCAGCTGGGTCCCTGGGCCTGCACAAGGCTGGATCTGGCCTTTCTGGGTGAACAGTCTTGTAGCCCCGGTGCTTGGCACAGGCTTTCACTGCAGGTGTGAAGGCAGTTCTAACAGTGTTCTAATACGGTGTATTTTGAACTCCTCCCCAACCCTAAGTCATGAAGTACTTCTTGCTGTTGGCTTGACACTAACTGAAGCAAGTGCCAACTAGACCATTGGTACATCAGCCGGGACACTGTCTCTGGGCTCTGTGGTCTACAGTGTCTGTGGCTTAAGCAGCCCCAGCCGAAAGAGCTTGAGTCAAGTCCTACAGTTTGAGCAGCAGTGAGTGTGTTAAATTTGAAACCTTGCATCAGGCCTGAGAAAGCTCCGCCACTTGGCTTTGGTCCTTCCCAGGGCCCTTGGGCATCTCCCTCACCCTGGCCTGCTGGACCCAGTCTGCCCTGGACTGATTTCCAAGGAGTGGCTGTGCGAGGTAGCCGCTGGATTGGGTATTTGCCGCTTTGTGGTGAACTCCCTCCCTCTTTCCCTAAGTCATAAGTTCCCTAGATCTTAATAACCTTGTTTTTTTGTTAACCTGACTGCTAGACAAATAAACTTTGGGTGGAGAAGCTAAATATTTCACATCAAAACCTGTCCGCCTCTGCTTCTCCCTGCTCTGGTGTATTTTTTTCAAATCATCTCGACACCCAGCAGTAGGACTCAAACTCACAACCCCGAAGATCAAGAGTCACACGCTCTCCTGACTGAGCCCGCCAGGTGCCCCTATACCCTTAAATCAGACTTGCTGATAAATAACCACCGGCCCAGAGACAACCTCTGCAACTGTGAGGCCCAGTCATCACTGACCTAAAATTTAAAATCCTTGCTGGCTCTGCTCAGGACGGAATGAAATAACAAACATGGTTTTTCCCTTCACAACTTACGGTTGCGGTTCCTGCGGCCGATGGTTAGACCCATGGCTCATCGACTTCCGTAGCCTGCTTGGCTCGACATCAAAGCAACGTAGGTGCCATCCACCCAAGACAAACCCTTTTGTGGCTTTATTGCAACATTCACTAATCAAAGGTTACGACTGATGGAAAATAGGATAAATGTGTCTTATAATGAAAGGTGATGACTGGATTTGGGGCCTAGAAGGAGCCTGGAGGAGGAAAGGAGCAGCAGTGGCCTTAGTACTGATAGCTCTGTAGCTGTGAGGGGTGATCCTGGGCACAGCAGGGGTGAGGCCAGCAGCTGCTAACGCAGCAGAAGTGGCCTCAGTGTGTAAGGATCTGGGGCATCCAGGTGCCCCTCGACATGGTCTCCGCATCCCACAGGCAAGAACTGAGAGCCAGGGGGAACTTGCTTAAGGACGTGCTGCTACTGAAAACAGGTCTGACGCTCAGGCCTCTGCAGGCTTCAGCTCAGACCCCGGGCCCAGCCTGGATGGGACCTGAGCTAAGTATCCCGTCTGAAAGCCAGATCTCAGCACCAGGAAGGAACTTTCTACCAGTGACTACTGTGTGTTCGACTATGAAAACCCTGTAAAGACAAAGTCAAATATAGTCAGAAGGACTGGGTTTTTATATTGTTCCCCCATCTGAAGATTGATAGTTCCCAGTCTCAGACCAAAGTCAGTCAAATGGCTGAAGTTTAGGAACCAAGGTCAAGGCTCTAAGGCAGAGTTTTCTTGGACACAGTGGGTTTTGGATTTTGAACCCAGCCATAGGCTATAGGCACACAGTTAACTGTGATTGGCTGGGACTTCCAAAAAGAGATCCATGGTCACGGGCACAAATCACTTCTGGTAAAGAAAACCTGCTGCTGTCTTCAGTTTAAATTTTTTTTCAACCCACATTAAAATAAACTTGGGTTTTCCAAAGAGTACTTAAGTCAGAACAGATCTAAAGGATTATGTAGGTCTGAAATGTTTCAAGGAATTGGGACAGCCCAGAAATCTTTAATTTACTATGAACTGGTGGTCCACGGCCGCTGAAGGAAAAGATGGTTGTCAAAGAAAGCTGGCCTGTGTTTGACCAGACCCTCAAAGGCCATCTGCAGCACATGGCGAGGCAGGAGAAAGAGCCATGGAATCTGCTTCGTAAGAATTCTGAGGCGTTTTTGAGCCCACAAGAATGTAGATTTGTGGACAGAATCAGGGATACTTCCTGTTTAAATGGACAGTTTCTGTGTCTTCACTTTCAACCCAGTGGCATCCTTGCACTAAGGATGAGAACAGGCATCCAAAACATGCAGCAGGTGTCCTTTCAAGTTCATTCAAAATTCAGGTGCTTCTCAGGGCATGGTGAGCCCTTGTTTTCTCCAAAATGACCAGATTTATTTTTTTTCCTTTTTTTAATTTAAATTCAATTAATAAGCATATAATGTATTAATAGTTTCAGAGGTAGAGGTCAGTGATTTGTCGGTTGCCTGTAACACCCCGTGCTCATTACAAGTGTCCTCCTTTATGCCCATCTTCCCACCTACCTCCCCTCCACCAACCCTCAGTTTTGGGGTTTTTTTTTTAAGATTTTATTTATTTGAGAAAGAAAGTGTGAACGAGAGAATACAAGCCGGGACAGAGGCAGAGGGAGGGAAAGAAGCAGGCTCCCTGCTCAGTACCAGGACTCCAGGATCACGACCTGAGCCAAAAGGCAGACACATAACTGACTGAGCCACTCAGGTGCCCGTTTCCCTGTCATTAAGAGTCTCTTATGGTTTGTCTCCCTCTCTGATTTTATCTTATTTTTCCCTCCCTTCCCCTATGAGCCGTTTTGTTTCTTAAATTCCACATATAAGTGAGATCATATAATTGTCTTTCTATGATTGACTTATTTAGCTTAACATAATACCCTCTAGTTCCATCCGTGTCATTGCATATGTCAAGATTTCATTCCTTTTGATGGCTGCATAGTATTCCTGTGTGTGTGTGTGTGTGTGTGTGTGTGTGTGTGTGTGTACACATACATACATACCACATCTTCTTTATCCATTCATCTGTCAGTAGACATCTGGGCTCCTTCCACAGTTTGGCTGTCGTGCACATTGCTGCTATAAACATTGGGGTGCACGTGCCCGTTTGGATCACTATGTTTGTGTCTTTGGGGTCAATACCCAGTAGTGCAATTGCTGGGTCCTAGGGTAGCTCTGTTTTCAACTTTTCAAGGAACCTCCATGCTGTGTTCCAGAGTGGCTGTACCAGCTTGCATCCCTGCCAGCAGCGCAGGAGGGTTCCCCTTTCTCCACGTCCTCACCAACATGTGCAAAATGACCCGATTTAAATAAGGATGATATTTTTTATGAAAACCTACCTACTCCAAAGGGAAGACTCCCTAGCGCCCCACCGCCTCTGCCTGAGGGTCTTTTAAATACACAGTAACGACGTCCATCCAGCCGCCTCTCCGGGCACGGACCTCTCTTCCTGTGGCCGAAAGCGCATCCACTGGCCAGAGCAGTCAGGAATAAACGACTTTACCTCCGCCACGCGGCATGGCTGTCTCTCAGTTCAGTGCCGTGGAGGGCAGATCCCAGGGGTCAAGAGTCTTGTGATGTCAGCAAAGTGCATAGAACCCTTGGCCCGGCCTGGCAGGTACAGATGCCAGGGAATGCCTGGCTGGGTGAGTGGATGGGCACAGGGAGCAAGAAAGGCAGAGATCATTGGCCCCTGTCGTGGACAATGGATGCTAGAGAGGTAGCTGAGCCTTCCCTGCACGCCCCCGCTGGGGAACTCTGTCTTCCTCTTGAATAACCCTCTTGCCCATTCTTGGCCACTTGGGCAGTTCTTCCCTTCCTTGCATTAGAGAGATTTAATTACCTCCCCGCCCCCCCCCCCCAGAAGATCACCACTCCCCGCCCATCCCCCCGCAGCCCTCTAATGAGACAGAGCTGATGCTCAGGAGAGCACGGGTTCTGACCGGCCCATCTGGGGACACAGCGCAAACAGCCATCGGGACTAAGAGTTTCAGGGCAGGGGCCCCGAGGGGAGAGATGGGCGTCTAACCCCTGCACCCTGTTTCGGTCGCAGCATCACGGCCACCGCCGCCAGCATCGGAGCGGCCGGCGTGCCCCAGGCCGGCCTGGTGACCATGGTGATCGTGCTGAGCGCTGTGGGGCTGCCCGCAGAGGATGTCACCCTCATCATCGCCGTTGACTGGCTCCTGTGAGTTGGACTAAGGGCACTGCCTCGGCCGGGTGGGGAGGCGAGTGCCCCAGCCGCGCGACGTCTGCAGCCCGTCAGCATTCTGTCCTCAGATTGCCCGACGAGCCATCTGTCGCTGCTTTCCTTTCCCTCCCGCCAGGCCATCTGATAACGTGCTTAAACATTAACTCCTCCTAATTCTGAGCCTGGATTCTGAAAGGCCAGTGATCTCCATTAGCTCATTCAGACCTGATAATACTCAAGGACAGGAGTTGGGTGCGGGAGCAGAGGATGATAAGGGAAGGAAGCTGGATAAGGTCCCAGACAGTCCAAAACCCCATAGGCTCCCCTTGCCTCTCGGGGCCCTGGGTCAGCCCCACGGGTTCAGAATGGCCTGGTTCGAGGGCAGCCCAGCCTCCCGAGATCTCCAGCATCGTCAGGGGCGGTGGCACGAGCAAAGACTCTGGGGTAAGACCAGCCTGAGTTTGAATCCCTGTTCCGCGTCTCAGTGGCTGTTTGGCCTCGAGCAAATTCCTTAGCTTCTTGGGGGCCCAGCTGCACGGGCTCTGAGGTGGGAACTATTCTGTGTATCTCTCCTGGTGGGGGCATGGTCTGAGCCAGCTAACGTGAGCAGGGAGTCTAGAACAGGGTTCGACAGGCAGTGTGCTCAATCATGGCTGGTTTTATTGTCACCATGAGAACAGTTTGGACAGTTCATGTCTTACTCGACAACTCTCTCACATCCACACACACGCATGGGTGCGTGCACACACACACACACACACACAGGGCTGAGGAACACAGAACACCTGGGCAAGAATGGGCCCTGTGTGATCCCCAGGTTCAAGTTAGAATGAACTTGGGGTCCCAGGCTTTATCCTTAATACCCACTCTGTGCATTGGTCCCCTGGTCCTTGGGGGCACGCGGGGCTCCGAATTGAGCCTTTACTCAGCACCAGCGGGGGGTTACAGGGGAGAACAGTGCCAGCTGGTTGTCGAGCTGCAGCTGAAATGGTGAAGATACAGTCACACCCCAAGGAAAAGCTTCCGCCCTGGGAAGGCAGGCCAGGTGGGGCCCCCTCAGCGGCTGGCTGGTCCCGCAAGCCCCCCGCCGAGGTGACACCTTTCTTGCCAAGATACCCTTTCACGGAGGCAAGTGCTTCCAGTTTTCTTTCTAGTGATGAGGGTGGGTTCGCATTTGTCTTCTTTCCCTGATTCTTCCCGGAACCCATGACCTTCACTTCCAAGATACCGAAAGAAGTCAAAGGTCCTATCTAGTCTGTGGGATGAAAAGACACTGGTTGGTTCCTACCAGGGACTAGTTCAGTCCATGGCCTTGTTCTAGATCACAGGGCATCCAGAATGGGGCTGGGCAAACACTGGTGGCCTTTCCTGTCCTGCAGAGGTGGTTCTCACGAGAAAGTGTTCACGTGCACACTGCCTCCCAGCAGGGCCCCCCTGTCCTCTCACCAGGACGCCTTCTCCGCTGCATGTCTTCTTCCCACAGCATCTCCTCCAAGCTTTGAAGAGTTAAGGCTGGCTCAGGGTGCCACAAGGAGGAAGCCACTCCTTGGCTGGTCCAGCTTTCTGGCTCTGCGCTCTGTAGTATCCCTGCTGACTTGCTCGTAGAGTGGCTCAATGTGGCAGAGAAACGACTCCTCTCAGGACACACAAACACACAGGAACCCTCAGCTGCACCCACAGACACCCAGACATCTCTCACGGGATCCCCTCCCCTTAGTCAAGAGAGAGCCTAGAAAAGTCCCAAGATTGGGGGGTAGGGGGTGGCGCAGCTTGTGTAATTCTGACCCTTCCTCACATTTCTTTGGGAGGAGAGGATGGAATGTGGGGAGACTGGTGTTGGATTTAGGAGGGTCATTGTGCCTCAGCAGGAGCACACACCCGGGGAGCCCGTTTGCTCATTCTGCACTTCTGTAAGCCACCGTCTGCCCCAGGCCTGAGAGGAGCGGAGCCTCTGAGCCGATCACCGGGATGACAACTTTCTCCATTTGCTTAATTTGTAACTGAATGCTTCAGATCCTTGTCTCTGTCCAGTGTCAACTGGAAATGAACTGCGGGCCTCCTGTCTCTCTCTTCCCCAGGGACCGGTTCAGGACCATGGTGAATGTCCTCGGGGACGCGTTTGGGACAGGCATCGTGGAGAAGCTGTCCAAGAAGGAGCTGGAGCAGATGGATGTTTCATCTGAAGTCAACATCGTGAACCCCTTTGCCTTGGAATCCACAGTCCTGGATAACGAAGATTCCGACACCAAGAAGTCCTACGTCAACGGAGGCTTCGCGGTGGACAAGACTGACACCATCTCTTTCACCCAGACCTCACAGTTCTAGAATCCCTGGCTTCACAGGACCAGGAATGACGAAGGACAGCTCCATGAGAGTCATCTCTTAGCAAATCCAAACATTAAATAAGGAAGAGAAAAACACGAATGGCCAACTGTACATTTGATTTGATAGACAGACTTCCAGATTATTTTCTATATTTGAATTCACAGCTTTTGCTCTTTGGGTTCTGGGATTTGGGGGTGGGGTAACATGAAAGAAAACAGATGAAAAGGAAAGCTGGATTGTCTGCAATGTAAAAATTCTACGAGAGACAAAGTTTGGAAGTAGAGTAGTAACTGTTGGATTAGGACATGGACATGAAAGAAAAATTGCTTTCTCATACACAGCCCAGTGTTTTGGGTTTTTAAAAAAAAATACTCTTATTGATTACAACTTTTTACTCAAGCTTTCTATTGGCATGGGTTTCCTTTGACTTCTCACATTTTTATAGATTACAGTGCATATAAACACCCCTCCCCCATTAATGTGCCAAATTGTCCATTTTTGACTCATCTCCAGCCAATTTCAAAGTAACCGCTTTGAAAGAAAACAGACCAGCACAGTTCTGCTATCAGAGTTTTAAGACAGGTGTGGGGTTTTGTGGGAAGGGTTCTTTTTTCAATGTACTGTATTGGGACACTGGTAACTAGTAACCCAGTGTTTGGTATAGAGTTAGATAGATATATATATGTGTACATATTTATTATTTTCATATAAGTTGCCAGACAGAGATCAGAATTGAACCGTCAATGTGAAACAAAGAGCTCTCCTCGTACTTGAACGATAACTACGATCTCAATCCAGACCTGTTTTAGGGCTTCTCCAAACTCCTGTCTCAGGAGCACAAGAATGAAAAATCATGTTGTCTGTGCCACATTTGCGTGTCAGCCTCAAAGCAGACGTGTCTTACGGTGATACTCCAAGATGGCAATGCTGTTCATCTACGACTCCCGGACTCGACTATACTGGGAGGGAATCCCTGTCAGCACTGCATAAGATGGCACACAGAGCTGTCACTCGCGTAAGGCTGGATGTGCTGTTATCCAGCTGGAAGTCTCCATTCTTCCGAGGTCAGTTATACCCACTTAAAAATGACAGGACTTCGCCCTTTGGTACCTCGCAGGGCTCAAACCATAGTGGCAAGCTCCCAGCTAAGTTATATTTCAATGTGGGTTTGATGGATTGAACAAGTCACATGGCCAGAAAAAGCACTGTCCCTGCCCTGGATTCTTGCAGAGTTCGGTCCCATGAAATGAGACGTGGTTATCAGTGGTTCAGGGGGATTCTCCCATTGTATGAAACTCGTCTCCTCCTCAGGGAGGTTCGTTCCAACTGCTAGTCTAGCCACCTCGGCCCTGCTCCTGACCATCCATTTCCTGTCATTCTTCTGCTAATTTGTGAGGATAGTTGATTAAAAAGTCTGTGCTTCGGCTCTCACCTTGTAAATAACGCTTAACATAAAAACTTGTATTTACACCGAGACCGAAATCGTCCCGCTCCTGCAGTACCGAGCAGCCAATGGAAGCCCGTGCTCTGGTATTTAAGAAACCAGATGCTGTGCCAAAGGTCATGGAAGAGTAAGTACGAGCTCAGTATTGACCACCCGTCCCTGGGATCTAGCAGAGAATGAGCCTGGGCTGTCATCACACACCATCAATACGGACCAGTGATTCAACAGGAGATTTAAAAGGCAAACACGGCTGGTGCGCATTGGAAGTCTGTCTAAATACTGATGCAGCTGAATCCCTCATTTGTCCTGGGCTGAGAGGTCTGACCGCCTCGGCAGGTGGCTGGGATCTTAGGTGCGGGAGGTGGCAGAGCTGCTGGTGACCTCAGGTCACCCTTCCTTGGAGTGAGTTTGTAACCAGCCTCTTAACACACTGTGCTGTTAACCCGTAAAAGAGAACAATGTTCCATCCCAGTCTCAATAAATAACTTCCGTCCTTCCTCCTGGCGAGCCTCCTTCTTTATTCTTTAATCTCACGTACCCAGAAGGGGCGTGGGAAGGTGGGGACATGGTCAGTGGATTCAGGGCGAAAACCGATTATTGTTTACACCCAAGGTTGGGAAAGCCGGGCTTGACAAAAAGTAAGGGGATGCTTTGCGTGAATCTGTGGGGATGGTAAGGCTGAAATACAGGGCCCTAAAAGGTGAGAGTTTGTCCGTATTTTACCACTGAGATGAAAGGGAAGGTATAATTTGACTAGAAATTCCTGTACTAGGAGGGAGTTTTATCTCCATGTCATGGTGCCCTGGTTTCACGGAGGGACCAGTCCTGCCCTCTGAGATGTGCCTACAAACAACAAATGGGTCATGACGGGCTCTCCTGGTGGACTCACTCATCTATGACCAACAACAATGTACAGCTCCCTACACTGAGAGAAGACAGTGTCTTACAGAAGTGCTTACCACCACCTGGACAGACTGAGGACAGGTACGTCTTCAGGTGACGCGGGATGCAACACCAGCTCCCCAGCTACTCAGACTTGTTTGCAAGAGTTAATCCACCTGAGCAGGGCACCCCAGGACTTGGATCTTGCCCAGAGTACACTCACGTACTGAGAAACAGTGTTACCCGCTCTCCTAAGGGACTTGGTCTCAACAGATCTTTGTGAGCCCAGTAGGTACAAGGCCCTTTGTTAAAAACACACCCCATTCGGGGCGCCTGGGTGGCTCAGTGGATTAGGCCTCTGCCTTCGGCTCAGGTCATGATTTCAGGGTCCTGGGATCGAGCCCCGCATCAGGCTCTCTGCTCAGCAGGGAGCCTGCTTCCCCCTCTCTCTCTGCCTGCCTCTCTGAGTACTTGATCTCTCTGTCAAATAAAGTATTTAAAAAAAAAAAAAAAAAAACACCCCATTCTTGGGAGAGCCGGGGAAACTATGCTTGGCTCGTAACCCAGCGGTGAGCCAGCAATGGTGTTGGCTTTACAGGTGTTGAGAATCTTCCCTCCTGGAACAGAAAGCGGAAATGGTCCCGCAGAGCCTTGGTAGAATGCCAAGATTCTGTGCAACAGGATCCATAGTCTGTACTCCCGAACTGCCCAGCAAGGCACCAGAGAAACCAGTGAGTGAACGCACCACCCTGACAGCTAGTCAGCTCTGGGACTCGTGCCAATGGTGTAAGCCCCGATTCTTATCCTGTGAAGTGAGGATAACAAATCTTTTCTCGTGAGACTGCTTTATGTATCAGATGAGAAAACGGATGTGGTGCATTTGGTGCATTACATGTCCAGTAACTGCTAGTGCCTCTCGCCCCAAAGAACGCCGTACACCCTCACCCCCCGTTTGCAGGGGTGAACCACAGACAGGCAGCTTCACGAGTTCAGTTTTAGGGCCCTTGCCACTCACGTGGCTGAGGACTGGACCTCTCACTGCTCGGCCTTACTACCCGGGTTATTGGAGCAAACAGTAAATCCAACCTCGTGAGACTTAATAATGAACTCTGAAAAACAATCTGAAGGGTTTGAAGGGGGGGTGGGAGGTTGGGGGAACCAGGTGGTGGGTATTAGAGAGGGCACGGATTGCATGGAGCACTGGGTGTGGTGCAAAAACAATGAATACTGTTATGCTGAAAATTTTAAAAAAATGATTAAAAAAAAAAAAGCAACCCCCATTCCATAAATGGAAAGCCTGTTCTGAAAAGGGGACATTTCTACCTCAACAGCCTAAGACCTTGAACGTTTCCTCCTGCAGAAGATCACGCAGGGATAAAGCACAGGTGAGTGGCCCCATCTTTCTTCCGTGCTCCGAGACACACGGGGGACTGGAGGTGCTCGGACACAGGCTTGAGCCTGAGATGCCCATTCGTGGAGCAGCCCTTCCCACATGCTGAAATCACACAGGACACGAAGTTCGATTTTGTCGCCTTGGTCCCTAAACCTCACGTAAACCGTCCCCACCTGCTGCGGCAGACTTTGTTCTGGGCCCCACGTGGGACTTTGTAATATCCCCTCTGCGGGGCAGCCTGCCTCCCTCCCCTGCAGTCGTGGACTTCTTAATTGAAAGCCCGGTCATGTAAACAACCAGAAGCAGGCCTTGCCCGGTTCGCTTAGGGAACAACCGCCTGATCTGTTTATATTGGATTAGGTGATGGCACCTCACCCCACGAAGTTACTGACCATGGGTGGGAGACCACTGGGGACGTGTCTCAGGGGCCTAGGCTGAGTAAGGCCACAAAACTCCTAAGCAAGCCATAAGATTTAAGCATATAATTGATGCCCCATTTGCCCTCTCACTAGGAAAACCCAGTGCTGGGCGAGATTAGGAGGCCGTCTCTCTGGGATTACAGACACATTTCTGGTTTCATCTACAAATCTCCACTTTGCCCAACTGCAAGGCATCACAAGGCTCGGTACAGTTATTAGTAAACCCTCCAAGCCCAGATAAAATCAGTAGCCCTTTTGTTGCTGGAAGAAAGGAGAAAGAAAAGCAGTGGCCTCCTCGGGAGACCGTTCACTGATCTCTAGAGGCCTTGCTCGCCTGGAGCTGGGAAGCTCTGACCTCAGGACAGCAAAATCAGGATATTCCCTAGAAAGAAGCTGCCCCACAAGAGTACGGTTTATCCAAAGATGGAGGCAAAGAAATCCAGAAACTAACATACAGAATCCACCAAACTCCTGAGCGGTAGTATCTAGAATCCAAGCCCAACCCCACTGCCCCCCACCCACCCCTCACCTTCTCTCTGACCTGACCGACTGGAGGCTCTGGGAGCTGCCTTTCCTCCATGACTCAGGAAAGCTCTTTACTGGATTATATGAGGACATCACATCCTCTTTCCTCACTTCAAGGTATCCGAGGGAATGCAAAGCAAGTTTGCATCATCTGGGCATTTCAGAGTCAAAGATCTGGCTGCCAGGGCAGAAAAATGAGGAGTCTGGAGATCTGCTGGTAGTTTTGTTTTGTTTTGTTTTTTATTTATTTGACAGAGATCACAAGTAGGCAGAGAGGCAGGCAGAAAGAGAGGAAGGGAAGCAGGCTCCCCACTGAGCAGAGAGCCTGATGCGATGCAGGGCTTGATCCCAGGACTCTGGAATCATGACCTGAGATGAAGGTAGAGGCTTTAACCCACTGAGCCACCCAGGCGCCCCCTGCTGGTGTTTTTA